AATTGGGAACAAAGTAGCCTCAGTAATAACTTCCATCCGGTTCGCTTCGCCCAGGCATTTCATACCCCTCAGGGAAACTGGAAGAAATTTTCTGCAGAGGGTTTGGACTCTTTCTGGTTTCCAAGGGCGCATAACTGCGCAATCCTAAGAAAGTATACCTGATAGCAATGAAAACTTGAAACTGTTTTGGAATTCCTAGCATAGCATGTTCAAGTAAAACTGTGTTTTGAAAGCTGATTTCGTCATAACAAGTTTCTAAATCCTTGAAATGTCGTGAAATAACTTACGAGATTATTTGCACCGTCTGCGATTTGACACTATCTAATCAGTAACTTTCGGTGGTGTTTTTGCTACCAATTTTTCTCTCTTTCTTTTTTTTTCGTCGAAAAAGTACGTTCAATTATCACGACTTGTACAACTATTTCCAAAAACGTATCGCAAGTTTTTAAGGCGGTTTAAACTGTGAACAAGTTCATTATAAATAAGTTATGAGAGCCAGGACTGATAGTTTCCCAAGTTATATAGATTGTTAAGTCTTTCGTAACGCCTGAAGTTCCATAAAGTCTTGGGAACATTTAGAGTTTCTACAAAGAACATTTATAAAAGTTAGAAAGCAAAAGATAACTAACCCTAACTCTAATCCCTCATATATTTTTATATGGTCTTTCGATAAGCCAGATTTCTCGAAAGAGTTTCCCAAATTCTGAATTTTGAAAGTTGAAGAATAGTTTGTTGAAGTTCAATTACGAAGACTGAACTAGTTTACTTTTTGGATCTAGCTTTTAATTAACTTTTATATTTATTCATTTTTTGTAAAAATCTCTGCTTAATTTTTTCAACTATGTAGCTGATTTAAAAATTTTCCTCCATTTATGCGATGAACGTAAATTAAACTTCCAGTCATCTTTTGGCTATTAAATTTTTGAAACGCTCATTTGGATGTTTATTGAAGAAGCTACTTAAGATGTTTATTTTTTTTGTTTACTAAATTATTTGCCCCTCACAATTCCCTAGGGATGACCTAGACTACTTTTCATGCTCAGGATCTTTTCCGCTTTGAATAAGTAAAAGGAATTAATTAGTCTATTTTGTTCGGATTATCTTCTGGCCAGGTTATCATCAGTGCTTTTTGCACACGTCTTAGCAATCTGTTATCAAAAAAATCTAATTCAATTTCACTTTAATTTCAATTCCTCCTCTGAGTTCAACAGTCCCGTTTTAATTCACTCGAGTCGATGAAATTTCTTCTGCCCGGTTTTTTTACCCTGAAATTTAAATTAGAACAATTTTTATGTAGTCGTAGTTGTCTAAAATGTGAACTTGTTTGTTAACAATTTGCTACTTTATCTTTACAATTAATAATTTCAACGATAAGACACTAACAAAATTTCATTATTATTGCGAGGTGTGAACTTTTTTTGTAATCTCCCGATAAAAAACTCCCGTTTGTCTCTGAAAAAATGTTATTTTAAGCTTAAAGTCTTTGAGGCTTTTTTGATACAATGAAAATATTTATTGTTTCCAACTGTCAATTATCGAAATATTTCTATTCAATTGATATGTTTACCTTGCAACCATTTTACCAATTTTTCTTTGGTAAAATTATTTGTATTGTGTGAAAAGAATACGAAGATTAAAACACTTTTGTAAAACATCGGACTTTGAAAACAGACATTAAAAATCGGCGACAGCACTTAACGTGATGCAAAAGAAAACGAGTCTGGCAACTCGGAATTTAGAGGCGGGCAAAAACCGAGTGTACGCTTCGGTTCGGTTTCTGAAGATAGGCGACATTAACACGAAGAACCAGCAGTTCACAGCTATTGTTGATTTGACCTTTACTTGGGGTATGGAGTTACTTTCTGAGAAGGTGACCAATTATGCTTACCTGGACAGGTTTCTAGAACAACACAAGGGCGAAGGCCCGCTGGGGTTCCACTTGGTAAGGATTGAACTTCATACCATTAGTTTTACTCTGTCGTTATAAATACTTTTTTTATAATTCTAATTAGTTTATAACAGTCAATTGCAATACTGTTCTAAAAATATGTTATAAATACAGAACTGTTTTATACAAATCAAACATAGAAAACTCTGGTCAAGTTATGCTCATAACTTCAACTTGATCAGTTTTTGCAGTACTGGGTAGTTTTTAAATCAACACTGATCCAATGAGCTTCATCAACAATGATCCAACGTAATCGAGAGAAAACACATTTTGGAGTTTTTCCCGCATCCAAGTTTAGGTGGAAATAATCGATTATAACGGATTATTATGATGATTTTTTGACAATTATAATTGATTATAATTACCAAAATTAGGTTTTTAAAGGATTTATAATTGATTATAATTGTGATATTTTCCGAGAGATTATAATCTCTAATAATCGATTATAATTGATTATAGTTCTTACAAAAAAACTTTAGAATCAATTATAATCAATTATAATCTCTTATTTTGCCAAAATTTTGTCAATTCAAAACTATAATCGAATGATATCTTATATGGGTTATTCTTTTTATTTCAATAAGAAAATCTCTAAAAGAGAGCTCTCTTGAACACTTTGGTTCATCTGAAAACAAAGTTTTACCTCGAAGCAAAAGTTTCATAGAGATCCTTTCATATTAGTGGAAAGATTCCCGCTGTAGATGAAAATTAAATCTTCCGAATCAATCATGAAACTTTATTAATTTGCTGATGTTTTGGTGATTAAAAAGCTTAATAATACATGCATCACAAAACAACTCTAATGGGGAAGAAACGAAAAAAAAAATTATAAACTTGAATTGATTGTAAAATTTAAAAAAATTCTCATTTTTCATAGGAACCAACGTCTACAAAAAGCATAAAATATAAGCAATTTAGATGCAATTTTGAAAACAAAATGCACAAAGAAAAGGGATTATTATCAATTATAATCGATCATAATGGATTTTTGTGCAAAACTAATGAGTTAGAAATTTGAATAAAATTAATTGATTATAATCAATTATAATTGAATATAATTGTATCGAAAAATGGACGACTAAATAATTGATTATAATCGATTGTAATGGAATATAATTAATTATAATTTGATCTTAAAGAGAGAGATTATAAACAATCATTAATTGATTAAAATCGATTGCTTCTCAATTTTAGTAAGACTGGTACTAAAATCGTAATAAAATCGAATATTAACGCTTGAAACTGGATGCGGGTTGCTTTCCATTTTCAGATTTACATTTTGATAGAATTATATACTTGTAAGGAAGGGATATACTCTTTACAGAATACGCCAAACAAGTGAGGTTACAAGGGTGATTTGGACGCGATAAGTATTGAATTCAAATCGGGAGTAATGTTTCGAAAGACTTGTGATGATGGTTTGTTCTTCAGAACACTTTTCAAAAATGTTTTTCTCGTGGGGGCTCGATCCCTCAATCTTCGGGATACCAGTAAGTTTGCGCTCACAACAAGACTAACCTAATTTTATCATCACTGTAAAACATGTCTAACTAAACTGCTTGCTATATAATTTACGCGTTTACGCGTGGCGAACTATATCGCACTACAAAATTGTTCCAAATTGAGTTGAGGCAAGCTAATTGGTTTTATTAACTCCCTTAAAAACTCAAACTTTAATGCATAAACATTGATATTATCAGCCTAAAATTAATAGTTTGTCAATATTTCATTAACCAAAAATTGTTTGAGGCCAATTAAAGGGCAGTGGGAACATTCAGGGTTTTGCCTTTGATACGAGCAGTCTGGTTAACATGTTTTAAGCAGAAAAGATTTAAAAGTTTGGCAAGTTTTGTGTTTGAAAAACTAAATAGAAAATAACTTTAAAAATTTCTCTCTGTTTTTTTCAATACTTTACATTGATCAAAAATGATTTAGTCCGTAAACAGCACTCATTGAGCACTGAATGACTGCTGGAGCAACAGTGGGTTTTTTTCTGATTTTAACTCTGATCAGAGATATGGTTCTACTTGCACAATCATGTTTTCTGAGTCAGTTCTGATTTTTGTGTGGCAAATTAAACCTGAGTTTTATACCCCCAAAAAGTTATGTGTCATACCAAATCAATTTTGTCTAAATTAAAACTGTGTTTAAAGGTGTTTGTGGGTTAAAAGTTTTCGAAAACCTGCAGATTTTGATTTTATTTTTCAGCTCGACTAAATTAGTTTTTCGAGTTCTCTGAGTTAGGACTGGAGTGTATAACTCATAGAGTAATTTCGGATAGGGTACACCGTCTGCTCGTCACGCTATCTCATTTTCGGCCGGATAGATTCGTGCAACTTCTTAGTCTAATACCGATCCTAATCTTACTCTTATACTATCTAGTCTCAGGTTGTTTAACTAGTCTCTGCTAGGCTCAATAGATCTAGGGTATACTGGTTTATTGCGGCTGCTGAAGTGCTCGGGAGAGTCCAACTAATTTCTAAGTTAAATTCAAATCTCTCTGGTGCTGAAATTACAAGTAACTTCAGCACTTACAAATAAGTGGGTTGTTAGTTAGATGGATCATGATTGGTTAATATTAAATACTTTACATTGGTAAAATATCTAATTTATCCAATCATAAAATGTAGTTTAGATCAGGTTCCACCCATCCGGGTTTTACAGAGTTTTTTAGAATAGTTCTTCTGCAATTTGAAGGATGGATGATGGACGTTGGTTTTTGGCGAACATCATTTTCTTCCGTTTCCTCTTTGTTAAAGAAGTTCCAGGAAGCTGGAGTTAGAGACATAAGACGTTGTGTCTTCTAGTGACAACGACTAAGTCTTTGCAACAAACTCAAATCTGATTTCAGAATGGTTGGCTATGTCAGGTTTTTCTGTTCTGCGTGGAGAACTTCTTTTGTGTCTGATCTAGTTTGGGAATGGCGTGGAGATTGTGCGTGGAGGGGATGCCTGGTTACTCGGATCTGTACGTATACTTGAACATCGAGGTGGTCATTGGTCTAGTTCAATGAAGTCCTTTTCTGCGAAGTCAAGTCGTACTCTAAATCCTTTGAGTTGTGATTGTGAGTGGCATATCGATTGTGGTTGGTCATTCTCTCTCGAGTGTAGTGGGGTCGTTTTGTCTTTAGATGTTCGTCCTTGGTGTTGTATTCTGATCTATGTATTGCATAATGTAATTTACATTTTATAAAACATTTATTAGTTTAATATTTTTTAATTATGATTTTAGTTAGTTGTTTTCACAAAAGCTTTTTGTTTTAGTTCGGTTATTTTGAAGAGTTACTCACCCTTGAGTAGCTCTTATTAAAAATAGAGGTGTGGTCACAAAGCGTGGATGTAGCGCGGTGGGTTAGGCCGGCTATAGAGCATGCTCAGGACGTCCTTCCTGGTGGGTTAGGCCAGGAGTGGGAGTATGATTTCATGCGGTTTTTATGAGGGGTCCTGTTATGTGACAACGTTTTATGTTGGGTTTGTTGTGGTTTTTCTTATGTCTTGTTGGTTATGTCCTTTTTCCAAAAAGCAAATTGTTCGTGGTATGGGTTTGTCTTTCGACTTTTTTGTGTTTTATTATTTCTTTTTTAGACTTTATAATAGTCTTCAAAAGAATAAATTATCCAGTTTTAAACTGGGTTAATCCGGTTTGGGTACCGTTGGTTTCCTTTTCTTAGTCATGCTGTTATTCTATGATTTGTGGTATTTAGTAAGCTGCGTTGGTTAGTTTTGTTTAGTATATGATTCCTTTCCAACCGGGTTAAAGGAAGGTTTGAAACATGTTATTATATGTTAGAGTTGTTGAGTGTGAAAACTTGAAACTGAAATTCATTATTTTAAACAATTCTTCGTGGGCGAGCTGTGCGAGTGTGGATAGAATTTCTGTGCGAATGAATGAGAATATCAAAAGGTTAGTACTGCATTTGCATTTTATTAATTTACTGCATAGAATTTGGAAATTTACTGCTAGTTATGGGGGAATTTTAAGTTACAAATTTTCATCATAATTAGATTTACTGCTTGTGGGGAAAATTTTAGAAATGAATTTACTGCATTGGTATTAAATTTATAAATTTATAAGTGTAAGAGATTAATAGAATTTTTGAAATCTGTTTGATGAAATTTGCGATTTTTATTTGTCTTTTGTGGTTTTTGTAGGTGATTGTCGGATGAAGGCTAAAAACCTAAAGAAAACATGGATAAAGTATGGTGAGTTTTTTAATATTTTAATTAGTTAGTAATATTTATTTAATTCATACTTACCTGTTAGTCGTCGGGGAAAAAACCGTGGGGGAAGATGTCGTGGATGAGATCGGAAGTTGTTAGTAGTTTAGCTAAGATGCGGATGATATTTTTAGTCTGAAGCAGTGGCCAAAGCAATTGAAGTGCCTTGATAGTGGTTAGTTCTTCAGTGCCAACTGCAAACTCATAAGGTGTGTTTTGGATTAGATTATATAATTTGTGATTGAATTTAGTGTTGTGGATGAATTCTAAAATTGGGATTTCTATAGGTTGTACAAACTCGTGCGGGATAAGGAAGGGTCGGGATTCTTCGGCGTTGAAGGTCTTGGTGATGGGACAGAAGATGTACATTTGGGTTATGGGATCATAATTGCGAAGAATACCATGAAGGTTAGTATCTTTAATGCAATATGTGAAATTTAGGAAAAATGGTGAAGTGTATTTGGAATTAATGAATTGAAAACGATGGTGTGGTTGTCTAGAGGGTGTGTGTAGGTCAAAGTGATTTTGGATGAAGCGATAATAACTATATGTGTGGGTTTGTTTAGTGCGCAACATAATATCGTGTGAGCAGTGTAAATCTCTTTCGTGTGGTGCAAGGAAATGAAAGGTTAGTGAAAATATTTGGAAGCGTTCTTTAAAACTTTCGTATGCTTGTGTGTCTGTTAGTGCTTCTGAAATAATGTGATCAAACTTTCGGTCGAAGATGTTTAGTGTAAATATATATGGTGTCTTGATGAAAAATTTCTCGGTAATTTG